TGCAGAGCCTTCCTACCCTCGAGCAGATTTTTCCTCTGGAGAAATCCAAATGCGACATCTAAGGATAGGTCTCCCTTTTACCCGACCCTACCTCTGAAGCTATTAACTTAAATTTTATACTTCTACTCATAATCAAATTTCAAACTTGATTCAAAGGATTATGATGTCTGCTTCTGTATGGAAATCTATGAATTGCAGTAATGTTGGAGTGGAATTTGGGTAGGTTGAGATACTTTTTTAGGTTTTGATGTCTGGATGTCTGCGAAGGCTGTAATTACAGGCTCTCAGGTAAGATGAAGTAGGGAGAGAGTACATGCAGTGGGTCAAAGGTGATCATAATTAGCTTTTCAACTGTGTCTCCTTTTCACTTAGAATAAAAAATTTTGCTTGGAATCAAAAATGAAACCGCTCAACTTTATTTTTTTCAGGCTCTTTATGGAAATCCTTAATGAATGTTCAGATGTGGATGAGATCAAATTCCAAGAAGATGGCTCCTGGTGCCCCATGAGGCCAAAGAAAGAAGCTGTGAAAGTCTCAAGTCCACAGTGCACCAAAATAGAAAGTACGTATATCTGGGTACTGGCTGCAAACCACAGAGTCTTGGAGACTTAGTTATAGCTTGGATACGTGTATGGATGTTGATGTTTGTTTTCTGGGGGCTTAATACTTCCAACCTTCTTGTCATTTAAACTAAAAAGAAAGGGTTGTATCTCTAAAAGTGTGCATTTTTGGGCTTTGTCTTTGCTCTTTATAATAGCAGTTAAGAAAACGAAAGGTTGCTCTTGTTTTAGATCCTGAAACTGGTAAGTAAATATTAAAGCTTGTGCTTTAATATTCCCAACATGATACAGAATACTAATAAAAGAGCTCCTGGGCCGTAACATTGTCTGTAGTGGCCAGGAAGATGAACTAAAACAGGATTTGAGTTCCTGGTTCTGTTGCAAATAGAAACTGCTGATGTCAACAGCCTTAAAAAACAATGATGTTTTATTTTCTTGTTTAGGTTCCAGTGTTGTTAGCAAACCGTGTTCTGTGACGGTGGCCAGTGAGGTAAACAAGAAGAAAGTTGATGTTATTGACTTGACAATAGAAAGCTCTTCTGACGAAGAGGAAGATCCTCCTGCCAAAAGGAAGTGCATATTTATGTCTGAAACGCAAGGAAGCCCAACCAAAGGGTTTGTCAATTTTAAAGTTAGTTGTTATTCTGTAATGTCTCAGATAAACTGATGTGTAGACAAATGGACTTGTAATCTCTCTTCGGGATCCAGCTCCACACTTCCAGAGGAGAATTTCTAGGTCTCTCCTTGCAGAAGGTTGTATTGATACAGTACCTTTGTACAGGCAAAACACTATTAAATAGTTTTACATCTCACAAAAGACTTGCGCTGACTGTTGCTGTGTTTGCAGGGATATTTCTCCATAGAAAAGGAAGCTGATTAAGCTAATGGACAGGATTCTCCTGAGAAAGCAGATTATGCCAAGTGGAGGAGCTTTATGCATTCTTGCTAAGTTAGTGTCATCTTAAAGGCTTTTCTCTCGCTGTCTGTTATACCCTTTATCTAATCTGCTCTGGTGCCCAGGAAACTAGGTGGCGTTGCGTGTTTCATCCATCCTGTCAAGTCTTGGAAGGGAGGTGCTGTGCTGTTTTGAATCAAGACAAGCTTTTCCTCCATCTCTCTGTTAAACTCTGGAATGCCTTGGACACTGTTGTTGGCCATGGTTATCAGTCAGTCCTGCACCTTGGTTAGCACAACCGACCACTTCCCAAGTCCTCTGTCAACTGCTCTGTCTTTGTAGTCACGCCTGACTTCAGCGGCAGGCTTAACCAGCTGCTTTACTGTTGTGCTGCCTTCTGTCTGTCCCAATCTGTGCGACTCAGCTGCAGTTACTGTTTGTGGCTTCCATAAAGTTCTTGCTCTCAGCCCGAAGGGCGCAGGAGACCTGCAGGGAATGCGGG